CATTGCACCTGTGCCAAGATCAGGCTGAAATGAGGGAGAATCATTACTACTGGTTATCTCTCTCAAAACAAGACAGTCCAGGAATAGAATATTGAAGTTCACGACGGAAGAAAGAATATTAGTACAGAGCAGGAATAATAAACGCCTAGGGGCTCACCCTTAAGGAGCTCTTGAATACACATCTGTAATCTCAGAGTTAAGGCCATTAAAGGAAACAAATTGTGAACAGTTAAGAAGAAAACGCTCAATCCATCTCGGTAAATTACCATCAGAATATTGAGTGCATTTAGTTTAAGCAGTAGCAGTTTATGACATACCTTGTCGAATTCCTTAGAGAAGTGTAAAAATATGCAATCGGTGATTAATTATTGGTCTAGAACTTGATGCGGAAATATTAACTGAATCTCACAAGAGTAATATTTTCCGAAACCGTGCTGCGCTGTAGAGAAACAGTCGGAATGAAGGAAACTGACAAGGTTAGTGGCAAGAACATGCTCATAAACATTTTACAACCTGTGCTGGTTAAAGAAATGGGGAGATAGTCAAGAGGAGATGTTTTGCTGCCACACTTGTGAACTGGAATGACCTTTCCAATTTTGCACTCATTTAGAAGAACAAATGGGTCGAGATACTGTTGAAAAAGCTTAGTTAACATCAATTCAGCATAGGTGGAAGTGCATTTAAAAACGCTGACACTAATATCGCAGCTGGAAGCTCAATGAACACCAAGTTCAACAATGAGCTTAAGAACACCAAGTGCACTGATTAGTAAAGGTGGCATAGTTGCAAAGGTATGGTTTCGAATAGTGGGTTGATGAGCAACAGAAATGGTTGAGAAACTTCCGGAAAATGTGCGGTTAAGGCTAAACATTGAGGCATGCATAACCGAACAAAATAAGGTCACTAGAAGATTCCGTCAGTGTGACAGTGCTGAGGGATTAATAGTTTGCCAGACTTTATGAACATTTCTAGTTAACATTGAAGCAGTACATGGGAATGAAAATGTTTTTTTTGCCTCTTAAAGTGCTTGAATGTACAATGTTGTGTATAAAGCCCAACGTTCACTAGTAGGCGAGAACTTTGTGGCACAAAAGGAGCACTTTATTATTTTTTTATAAATACCAGATATGGCTGCTTTACTAGGAAGCATTTGAGCTGTTGGTTAAAATACAGTGTGGCATGTATTGTTCAGTGAGTTGGGTGATTCTATACGAAAACATATTCCAGTGAGTTTGAATACTAGATCCAGTAATCAAAACCATTGAAAAAAAGATCAGCAAAGGTAGAAAGATTATTGTTGATCACCGCAAAGTCACTCCTGTTGCAGTCAAGAATTTTTTTCGTTTTGTTTTTGGGTGGGCCAAATTATTGGCAAAAAGGTAGAAGTACTTGGTGACCAAAAGACCAGGAAGGTATCTTATATGTGACAATGTATCGGGGCCTTGTTTCTCAGTATAAATTCTAGTACACTCAAAGCTCGTTATAACAGTCACACCTGCCACCACAGTAATACTTTGTTATATCTGGAAATTTATTATAACCATATATATGCAACACTATATCAACGAGAAATTTATTTTACATTTACTTCATTATAACCAATAATTCGTTATATCCTGGTTCCTTATATCAAGGTCTGAGTGTATCTGCCAATAGAGCCGTAAGGCTAACAAGCTCACAGAAAAGGGGAACAAAGCCAGCCTATCAGTGTATCTAGCAACACTACAAGAAATCGTGCAACCTGCTGCATGATATAGGATAGAAGAAACAAAAAAGACAAAGCAATGCCACCCCTTCTTTCAAAGAGCCAGTCAACAGGCTATGCCTTGTTGACTGGTTATATCAGCCTGTATACATGCTATATACAGGTTATATCAGCCTGTACCTGAGCGAGATACAGGCTGGTTTGGTCACGCATAAGCGTGTGTGTGTGCAGACACGCATAGATAGGTTTTTCCGGCCATTGAGCTAATAATGATGCTTTTTTTTAGGTCAACTGTTGTTTTTTTTACTTCCGATCATTCGGACTGTGTGGCTGTTCCTGTCGAATCCAAATAAACGGTCGGTAACTGTCTTCCACTCTACAATAGCAAAGACTCCCCAGACCTAAAACCTTTGCAGTTTGCCCAAATAAGGGGAGCCCAACCTATTGGAACCTGAACTTGGAACCTGAACGCTAGAACCTCATCTAGTGAGGGAAGTCTAGCTCTACTATTCGAGGAGCTAGAGGGTGTTAAATGGGATATGATAGGGCTCAGTGAGGTTAGGAGGACAGATGAGGCCTATACGGTGCTACAGAATGGGCACGTCCTTTGCTATCGGGTATTGGCTGACAGAAGAGAACTGGGAGTGGGGTTCCTAATTCACAGAAACATAGCTGGCAACATAGAGGAATACTATAGCATTAATGAAAGGGTGGTAGGTATCGTAATTAAACTGAATAAGAGATACAAGATGAAGGTGGTACAGGCTTACGCACCTACATCCAGCCATGATGACGCTTCAGTTGAAAGCTTCTATGAAGACGTGGAATCGGCAATGAGTAAGGTAAAAACACAGCATACAACACTGATGGGAGACTTTAATGCAAAGGTAGGGAAGAAGCAGGCTGGAGACCAGGCAGTAGGAGATTATGGCATCGGTACTAGAAACGCCAGAGGAGAGCTACTAGTAGAATTTGCAGAACGCAATAATTTACGGATTTTGAATACCTTCTACCGAAAACGAGGAAACTGCAAGTGGATATGAAGGAGCCCTAATGGCGAAAATAAGAACGAAATAGACTTTATAATGAGTGCACACCCAGGCATCGTGCAGGATGTGGAAGTGGTTGGCAAGGCACGATGCAGTGACCATAGAATGGTTCGGTCTCGAATTCGCCTAGACTTGACAAAGGAACGACAGAAACTGATACGCAAGAAGCCAGTCAATGAGCTAGCACTGAGAGGGAAAGTACAGGAATTCAGAGTCTCGCTTCAGAACAGGTACTCGGCTCTTAGTGAGGAAACCAACCTTAGCATAGATACAATGAATGATAATCTGACGAGTATCATTACGGAGTGTGCAGTGGAAATTGGAGGCAGGGCAGTTTTCCCAGAAAACGAAGAATCTCATTAAGAAGCGTCAAATCATGAAAGTCTCAAGTACAATAGACAAAATAGAACTGGCAGAGCTTTCGAAGTTGATTAATAGGCGTAAGGTATCCGACATAAGAAGGTATAACATGGAGAGAATTGAACACGCTCTGCAAAATGGAGGAAGCATCAAAGCAGTGAAGAGGAAACGTGGGATAGGCGAAAATCGGACATATGCACTAAGGGACAAAGAAGGCAAAATAACTACCAATATGGATAGGATAGTTAAGATAGCGGAGGAGTTTTACAGAAATCTGTACAATAGCCGGGACAACCACGACTTTAGTACTATAAGAACTAGCAGTAACCCAGATGACACCCCACCAGTAATGATAGAAGAAGTCAGAAAAGCTTTGGAGAGCATGCAAAGAGGCAAAGCTGCTGGTGAGGATCAAGTAACATCAGATCTGGTGAAAGATGGATGATTCATCAGATGGTGTTAGAAAAACTAGCCACCCTGTTTACGAGGTGTCTCCTGACGGGAAGAGTACCAGAGTCTTGGAAGAACGCTAGCATCATCTTAATACATAAGAAAGTAGATGACAAGGACTTGAAGAATTACAGGCCGATTAGCTTGCTCTCTGTAGTATACATGCTATTTACAAAAGTAATTGCTAACAGAGTAAAGAAAACATTAGAATTCAATCAACCAAAGGAACAAGCAGGATTTCGAACAGGCTACTCAACAATCGACCACATTCATACTATCAATCAGGTAATAGAGAAATGCTCAGAATATGACCATCCACTATACATAGCCTTCATAGATTACGAGAAGGCGTTTGATTCAGTAGAAATATCAGTCGTCATGCAGACACTGCGAAATCAGGACGTCGATGAAGTATATATAAACATCCTGAAAGAAATCTACAGGGAATCAACTGCTACCATAGTGCTTCATAAAGAAAGCAACAGAATACCAATCAAGAAGGGTGTAAGGCAGGGGGACACAATATCCCCAATGCTATTTACCGCGTGCCTACAGGAGGTTTTCAGAAGCCTAGAATGGGGACAGTTAGGGATAAGAGTTAATGGAGAGTACCTTAGTAACCTGCGCTTCGCCGATGACATTGCATTGCTGAGTAACTCAGGGGACGAAGTACAACTCATGATTACGGAGTTAGACAAGGAGAGCAGAAAGGTAGGTCTTAAAATGAATCTGCAGAAAACGAAAGTAATGTACAACAACCTCGGAAAAGAGCAGCGCTTTGAGATAGGTAATAGTGCACTTCAAGTTGTTAAAGACTATGTCTACTTAGGGCAGGTAATAACCGCGGTGCCGAACCACGAGATTGAAGTAACTAGAAGAATAAGAATGGGGTGGAGCACAGTTGGCAAGCGCTCTCAAATTATGACAGGTAGATTGCCACTATCCCTCAAGAGAAAGGTATATAACAGCTGTATCTTGCCGGTACTTAGCTACGGAGCAGAAACCTGGAGACTTACAAAGAGGGTTCAGCTTAAATTGAGTACGACGCAACGAGCAATGGAAAGAAAAATGGTAGGTGTAACCTTAAGAGACAAGAAGAGAGCAGAGTGGATTAGGGAACAAACGGGGGTTAAGGATATCATAGCTGAAATCAAGAAGAAGAAATGGACATGGGCCGGGCATGTAGCGCGTAGACAGGATAACCGCTGGTCGTTATGGGTAACTAACTGGATTCCCAGAGAAGGAAAGCGGGTTAGGGGGAGACAGAAGGTTAGGTGGGCAGATGAGATTAAGAAGTTTGCGGGTATAAATTGGCAGCAGCAAGCACAGGACCGGGTTAACTGGTGGAACATGGGAGAGGCCTTTGTCCTGCAGTGGACGTAGTCAGGCTGATGATGATGATGATGATGATGATGAACCTATTAAAAACTACCTACACTTGTGTGCTCTGCCATTACACCACCCCGTTCTCGGTCGTCGGGAACCGGTGACACACAGCTCGATGTGGGTTGTTCATGCTCATCTCGTGACTGGAGCCTGCGTGATATCATTCCATAAGCAATACGAAAAATGCACTAGAAAGATTGTTCTTGTTCAGCATAAACAAGTCATTCCACATAAACAATACATGTAAAATGACAGTGTTACCAAGTGACACTTTGTGCACCAGTAATGTAGCCTGAAAAATGCTGCTAATAAGAGTAATTTTATAATGATGGCAAGAAGAGATGTTTTGACCGCTCATACTTCTAACGACATTAGAATGTCAAAAGACTGCTAAATAAAGTAAGGGCAATCGAGACCGAAAAGCTGAACCAAGAAAAATAAAATAACCTTAAATGTCCCATAAAGCAACACCATTAAGCCAAAGACATAAATAGCATTCTCTCCAACTATAGCATAGCATGTGCACATATGAAACAAAACTTGTATATAAACAAGAATAACACAAGCACCAGGACTTGGATTTATCAGTTACTTAAACAGTGACATTACTCACTGCTACTTTAAAATGCCGCACTGCCTGTCTCTGTACTTAGTTATCACTTCTACTTTTTATTTGTAGGAGTTAAAGCATGTAATGGATAAAATGTGGTCTATTAGGCAAAAAGATAGCAATAGCGAGAGGAAAGGATGCAGAAGAGCACGTGAGGAAACTAGATGTGCAGAGATAGAGGGAACACGCAATGTGCACAATTCAGATGGCAGCAAAAAAACGTCTTGCAGCAGACTGATCCCGAATGTTTTTACCTATGCTTTTTGTACTTCCATTTTGCACAATATACAGTGCATTTAACTTTCATACCTGTCTGCAGTAGGAACTTCAGTGGGTCTTTGCACACTTGGAAACAGTGTTGGCACATAGGCAGGGCTTCTTGGATCGTTTGACTTCTCTCCATTTACAAAGTGATGGCTGCAGATCTTGCTGTGTTGGGTAGGCTGCCACAGAAAGCCGTCTGCACTACATGGACCAATATGCAAAATTTCCGTCATAACATGCACAAATTCACGCACATCACATTACTAGCATTTGTACTCTTATGTTGTGAGATGTACACTCAGACCTCATAATAACAAAGTTGCATCTCACACAAAAATACGTTCATTATAACCAAAAATTTGTCATAAAGGTGTATTCTCAGCATTATATCTATTAATACTAATCTTTATTCACTTTGTTATAACAGATATTTCGTTATATCTGGGTTTGTTATATCGAGGTTTAAGTGTGTGGCGACACACTGCGCACAAACCGGCACAGCCGGCGTGACTCAGTCACATGCTGCAACACGCGTCCGATAAAAAACAGTGACACGGCAGCGCCACCGAAGGTTTACGTCATCACCGGTAGATATCAACCCAAGCTGCCAAGCTCGGGAGACAATCATTATTTCTCTAGCGCAGCGTAGGCATGCTCACCGCGCTGCTGCTACCATGCTAATGAACAGTACTTATGTTTAGTGTTGAGATTTATCCTTCAATCAACGCGGCAGCCCACAAGTGCGTTAAGCTTAGGGACAAAGATTGCAGTCAGTGTGGCAACTCTGCTCAAAAAGTAGAAAGCCATAAGAACTTTTCAAACATGGCACAACTATTTCTGCAAAAAGCTAATAGCAATGGCATATGCAGCAGCTTGCAAGACCAGCATCGAAGATAGCCGCGAGAAAACAAAAGAACTGTTAAAAAAGAAAAGGCCTGTAAACTTCTAAAAAATTAAATAACTACATGATTTAACCCCATTATAAGCAAGCTGAGGCGAAGACCTCGTCTTACACAAAAAATCAATACTTACTAACAAAAAAAAAACACCAACTGGTCAACGCCCGCAATAGCTCACATAAAAACACACACACCCGAAAACATGCTCTGGGACAATAATTCAGCGAGTCGCATAAAGCCAACAAAAGCGCTGCACGAGAACAGTTTCAGCAATTTTAAAGGCCCCCTCGGCGATCTTTCGAGGACAATAAATCTCAATAAAAATTTCTAGGTACGTTCCTTTGCACGTTTACATCATTTGTCCCCACTGAAAGGATTGAGATACACAGATTCTTTAAAATTGAATTTTATAGATTGCCCCGACGCTCCCAACAGTCTTCCCACAATTATTAACAACATTGTGTGTGAGTGTGCCAACTTTTTTACGTCATAGCGAAAAAAGGGACGAAACCAAACAGCCACTGCATCATCCGCTACTCACAAGGAAGTTAGTGCACGTATTGCTTAGCCAACGTTTCGTTGGTACAGAGCATGAATTTAATTTTTTTGTTGGACCTGTGTGCAATGAGTGGCAAGTGGTGTTGCATTGAGATTGCACATGATTCACCATATAATTACCTAAACATTCAGGATACACTCGGAAGTAACAATTACCCCTTCCTCTCGATAATGTAGAGTTTTAGCTAGCAGTGCTGAATCACTTGACAGAAACTGTGTCTATACCATAACGACTGAAGCGGGTCTTGGTGTGAACATTACAATAGTGTACTAAGCGAGCACATTACCATACGGAGACATTTCTTATAATGTCTACAGGCCGCACAATGACCAGGCCTGGTGCATTGTGCAAAAGGAGTACTTGGCTTGAATTAAATTCCTTCAGCTCTGCTAGTGCAATTTCAAACTGCGCTATTGCCAAACTTCCTGTAGAACTTTTCCTATAGCAATATCAAGAAGCTTTCGTTAGCCCACAAGCTAACAGTGGAATGCACAACCAGCAATCGCCATTCTTTTTTAATGACTTTACTTGGCCTCCACATGCATCCAAATCTCAGCTGTCATTTTCCGACGGCTGCGAGAAGCTTGAGCGCTTGAGCACATAGTACGTGGAATAAGACATGGTGCGGCTGTTACGATGAGAATACCTTTCCCTTGAGCGTCTCTTTGCCACTTTCGCAGCTTTCATACGCCGCGCTGGCGAGACCGGCACGCCTCGCACGGATTGCGGTATGCACAGTTTTTGCCATACAGCTTCATACAATATAACCTAGAAAGGAATCTGGCACTGCAATCGTGTACCCCTATGGGAATTACGGGAAGTACAGGCTTCAGATTGGATAGTGTTAGCTATCCAATCTAGTAATTTAGAGTAATCATTTAGTAATTACATTTAATAATTAATCAGTTAGTGATTAATTACATTTAGTAATTAATTACATTTAGTAATTAATCATTTATTCAATTTAGTAATTACAGGCCAACATCTATCTTAACTGTGTTTTCAAAGATTTTCGAAGACATAATTTACGTCCGATTAGTTACATTTTTTAATGTACGCAAGGTAATTACAATAAGTCAGTATGGCTTCCAAAAGAATAAAGCCACTGAACAAGCACTCTTGTATATCAAAGATAAAATAATAACTAATATTGAAGACAAAAACTATACGCTTGGTCTATTTTTAGATCTAAAGAAGGCATTTGATTCTATAGATCACAAAATTTTGTTATAGAAGTTAGAGAAGTACGGAATTAGGTGTGTTGCAAGTCGGTTGCTGAAAAGCTATTTAAATAATCGTCAACAGTTCGTACGTATGCGGGATGTTTCGTCTAGTTATCTAACGCTTGAACGAGGCGTCCCTCAGGGCTCTAAGCTAGGTCCCTTATTATTCATAATTTTTGTAGATGATATAGTTATTATACTTGATTCCCCAGAATTAATAATGTACGCCGACGACACCAATCTATTTTTAAATCACGGGACCTGAATGAATTAGAATACAGTGTGAATCACTACCTTGTACCACTAGCTTGCTGGATGAATCGAAATAAATTGCAATTAAATGCTGAAAAAACAAAATACATTATATTCAGGGTGCGCAATACATCCATCGATAAGGAAATAACCATTACTTATGCAGGAATGAAACTGCAGAAAGTGACATACCAGAAGTTTCTTGGAGTGACGTTTAATGAAGAGTTAAGCTGGAACGCGCATATTAGCCAACTATGTGTAGACTTATCAAAAAGCATTGGTATTACGTACAGAATTTCTAAACTGATTCCCCTATGCCTGAAACAACAGCTATACAATTGCCTTTTTTATTCTAAGCTGTGCTATGGAGCTCTGGTGTGGGAACAACTACCAAAACTAACTACAAGAAACTTGTACTTCTACAAAAATGGGTTCTCCGCATATACTGCAAACACCAAGGAAATTACGCAAACTTGAGGGCAGCACCTTTATTTCAAAGATATCATATGCTTCGTGCCGATCAAGTCTATTATATGAAAATATTGCAAATCATATACAGCAGAAAACTGTATGAGCCCAACGAAGGAGCTAGACAACACACTTATCCGATCCACCAAATCTTATGCTGTCCACAACAAACAAGAACAAATTATGGTAAACAAACTTTTACCCATCAAACAACTTGCATATTAAACAAATTAGAACCTAAGCTTAATTTTGACTGTACAGAAAAAACATTTAAGGTACAAGTTAAAGAAGTGCTAATGCAGGAAAACATACTTTTTGATGAATCCTAGAAAATACTGATGTTAGCAATGGTAGTAGTCGGGCGATGGAAATCTTGTACTGCATGTATTTTATTAACTATAGGATATAATGGTATGTATCACATGTCTTTAATGTTCTAGTCTGATTCCTTCCTGAGTGATTGTTATTTAAGTATGTTATGTAGTAAGTATGTTACAAGATTTGTATAATCAGTCAGATTTAATGTAACATGATATTTTTGTCAGCTATTCTTTTCTCTGTTGCTTCTTTTGTTCATGAAGGTCTGGATGCTGCGAAAGCTGTTTTTTATTTTTATTTTTTGATGTACGAACTGTGTACAAGGGTGTTGGGTCCTCTGTCAGGCTATATGCTTTTAGCCCCAACATCCTTTTGTTTCTTGTGCCTTGTACAAGAAAACAATAAAACGAATTTTGAAAATTGAAAATTGAAATTGAGAAAACTGTCTAAGGATCTTTTTCTACAGTTTCGTTCTTCGTGCAGTGTTGGTAGTGGCGTGTGGTGAAAAGCACTGAAGCAGCGCCTTCACTGTTCAAAAAGGCAGATGACTGCTAGGTCTCTTTAATTGCTGCGCCATTGGAGCTTTACAGGTTGTATTTGACAATTTAAACAAAGTGTCGTGCACTCACCGGTGTGCCGAGATAGAAGCGTCACACGCCATTGCAGGATATTGCATAGAAATTACGCCTTTTTGATAGTGTGTCTTGCCTAAACTCGTTTAAATTGACTGCAAAACGACAAAAAAGCTAAGTAGATGCACCGTCATGCTCCCCTGACTCAACTTCACAACAAAACGAGGGTTGCGTTGGGGGCCGGCCACGTAGACGAACACACCTGAGATTGCAACCGACAATACGAAAAGTGTTTCTGATTTAATATAGTACTGTTTTTTATATAAAAAGGTAATATATATTTTTGAAAAAAAAAAAAAACTAGCATGTTTGTTTTCATGTGCTGTAAAAATAATTCATAAAATCTTGATGCCAAGTCTGGAATGCAATGGCAGGGCATGGCATACCTTGGTAGGTGAATTTGCCCAGCTTTCACTTTTACCAACTGGTAAACTTTTATCAACTGGTCACGAAAACTCTTTGTAATGAAGTTTTCATACAAAAGAACGAAGCATGTTTCAATTAAATATACCTTTATAGCACTTTGTTTTACACTCGGCAAACAAGCGTCGCGAATCAGAAGAACGTGATCTATCCGAAGCAGATCCGAATAAAGCCTGTACGTTCCATAATTCTCATGAGGGTACAAACACCGCTGAAGGATTCCACGTAGACACTAGCGCCAGATTTTCCTCTTGGTATTATTGTATGAAACTCTATGGTTTTTGCCAACGTCGACATCACACACAAACATTACTCCGGTTGGGTTTCGGTACGTGTTGCACTTTTCTGCTTGTATAAAATTATCCTCAACTTTGCCGAGTACTTCTGCTATCAGACCCATGAAAGGAAAGTCTCAGCTGGGGACATA